TCTGTTCTTTGCCTCTTCCCACTTCTGGAAGCCGTTCTCTGGCTTGTTTGGCTTACGGCCACCTCACTCTGTTCTCCACCAACATCTTCACATCACTGTTTTCTCCGCTTGCACCTGTCAAACCTCCCGTGTTTTCTAGGACACCTGTCAGCAGGATGACCGCATCATCCCAAGGTTCTTCATTTGGTGCTTTCCCAAACGAGGTCACATCTGGTGCCTTCACTCAGCCAACTACAATGGGCAAGGCAGAATCATGGGGAAATGTGCATGGGAAATACTTTGGGTTTTCTAGCAGAAGTCATCTTCTGTGCCCCAGAGTCTTGCTCTGTATCGGCTGAATAGCTAATAAGCCTGTCTAAGGTGGGCAGGTCTGTAGGGCTTTGCTTTTGCGGAGTTTAGAGGTTCAGGGCAAGAGCTAAATCAATGAAGACATTAGAGGGGACTGGAAAGGGCACATGTGGGAAGGATGGAAAGGGAGGGAACCAGATGATAGCTAAAGAGAATTCAGGTTTTGAAATGTCTTCATTCCTTCAACAAATATTTATCTCAAAAAGCCTACACATGTCAAGCTGTGTGCTAGACAGAGGACATGACACTGAACAAGACACAGCAGCTGCTGTCCAGTGCAGGCAGCCACTTACCCTGGGATATCCCATGTCGACCCTCTTCGCCCAATATCTTTGGCAAATGTGCACTGCTTGCTCATGCTCAGAAGACGAGGCAGCAGGAGGGGATGGGAGGAGAACTGTCTCGTCCCGCGGATGGAATGAAGCAAACCCAGGGTCTCCTCCCTGGGGGCCACACATGTGGCGTACGTGCTCTAGTTGGCCAGTCAGGGCTTTTTAGGCACCCAGTATCCACTTCCTCCTTCCTATAGCAAGAGCACGTTGATTTGCCTTTGGAAAATGACATCTCCCCAGTCCTGGGTAGTCGTAACAGTACTGCTGGTCAGATGTTTTTCCCTGAATCCCTACCCACAAGGAAGCGAAAGGGCCAAGCTCCGTCCATGAGACTTGGAGCTGAATCCTAAAGGGAGAGATGTAAAACCAGAATCAAAGGCAAAGCCAGCTTAGCCCCGCCGGAGATGTGGATGAGATCAGAGCCCGCTCCCTGGCCCCTGCCCCCACTCCACATGAGGTGCGCGGTGGACCCTTGGAATCAGAGAGCCATTTCCACCTGTCCAGAGAGGAGAGGGGAGAGCCTCTGGTCTAGAGGCGAGCAGGCCTGGCTGGGAGGACAGATGGATCTCCCTTCTACATGGAGAGTTGCTACCCAATCCAAGGCTCCCTTGAGCTACCCGTGATTGCTCTTAATCATCGAGAACACTCACTATCAGCGCCAGCCATCAGGAAATGGCCAAGACCCTGACAGAAGAGGGGTGAAGGCTCCACATGGCCAAGTAAGCTTAGCAGGCACTTCCTAGGCAATCCTAGGCCTCTCTGCACTCCCCAAGGGTCTCCCTGCCTGATTCAGCAAGGGGCTCCTGATTCAGAATATGCCTAACTTTGTACAGGCCATGGCGGAGCACCTCAGGAGAGAGCGAAGCCCTACCTTCAATTCATCTTCCCAGATATTCCTGCCTCCTTTCCGTCCACACCAGGTCTTTCTGCCCCAGCCCCCGCAAGTACACTCATCAGCTGATAACCGCACACTGTGAACGGAGGCTGCTGTGCTGCCTCTCTAAAGTATGAGTCCACTCCTCCCATTATCTCCCAAACTCTTCTTTACTTCAGGAGATGGTGATTCCCTTACGTGAACAAAAACCCCTTTGATGTTCCTGGGAGGTTAGGGCATTAGCTCTCTCCTATAAGCAGTCCAAATTCTGACCCAACTCACTACCCAATCCAAATTTCAGTTTGGTATAAAAAACAAGCAAGCACCTGGACGTGGCAGGCCTGTGGAATGGCTTGGGTACAGCCATGAACATGTAGCTCCTGCCCTGATGTGGCTCAGACCACAGGAGAGAGACACTGAGCAAATGATGTGCAACTGGCACAGAGCAGACCTGGATGGCAGCCTCACAAGGGAGGTCCCTGGCCCACCTGCAGGTCCAGATCGGTCTCCCTTGAGGAAACACTAAGCTGGGCCCGGGGGTACAGAATCCAGAGACTGCTTCTCCTTCACGGGAGCCTTCTGCAGAGCTGTCCCCATTTTAGGAAGTTATGTTCTAAAAGTTCACTGTCAAGTTGATGGGTTTGGAGTTCAAAATATTTCCTTCCGCACAAACACATTTACCAAGAGTGGCTGGGTGTTCAGGCTGGGCCACCAGCACCAAGTCACCCACAACAGCTGCAGCACGGTACACAAACGCATTGGCCTGGCCTCTCTGGTGGGAAAGCACTCTGAGCCCGCGTCCACCAAAACCCCGCACACGAGCCCTATCTTCTCATGAAGCCGCAGCATTCCTCTCAGGGCCTTCCCTCCACCCAGCCTGTCCCACTGCCTTGGTTCAGGCCGATCTCACCACAGAAAGGACACTAGATGTGGTCACCGTGGTCATTCCTCCTTGGCCTGGCCTCCTCCCATTCCCAGCTGCAGCCAAATGCTCTGCAGTAGTCCCACTGCACAGACGGAAATTCCAACTACAGCACAGGTGTGTCAAGATCAGTGCCCGGTCTACCCCTCCAGCCTTTCCCCACCACTTCCTGGCTGCACTCTGTGTGTCTGGCCACACTGATCTCCATGCCCAAAATCGGTGGTCCTTGCTGCTTCCCTTCCTGGAGTGAAGACTTCCTCCATCTCAGCCTGGAATCACTCATCAATCTTCCAAGACCAAGCTCCTCTGCCCAAGACGAGAGTTCAACTCACTTCTACCGTGGGGTGTGTCGGACCGTGGTTAACGGTGTATCCGGTATATCGGACAGCTATGTGCCTCCCGCAGAAAAAGAAACGCCTGAAGGCTGGCCACACCCTCCGCTGAGGAGCAGCACCCGAGGTCTGAACTCAGAGCTGGGCTCCTAGCTCCTCGCTGGCACTTTCCAACTCTTGATCTTAACCAAAATCTTAACTTCGTCTCTGTGGGCCTTCAATTTCCTTACCTGAAAAATGGGGGAAACAATAGCTATTTCACAAGTGAACCACTGGTAACTTCAAAAACAGGTAGAATGGGAATGACCGAGACATTTTCATTTCTTAGAAGTCCCAAGACATTCACACACATCTAGTCGGGAACGCACAGATGAGAAGCCCAAATTATCCTCAGGGGACATATCTGGGTATCGAGCACTAGTGTGAGAGGGGATTGAGGTGAGAACTGATGTGAGGGAGCGTGAGGAGAAGCCACAAGAAACGGCACCAGCCAGGGTCCCCGGCGACGTCCCACAGCCACTCTGGAAAGCACACGGGATCTGCGAGCGGACACATTCACTCAGCCCAGCCTTCTAGGATCCATCAGATCATGAAAAGTACAGGAAGACGGTGCGACTTTCCCAAGGCCAGGCTTCCTTATTCAGAGGATTTGGTCACTTCTGAAAGTGTGAAAGGGACCCAGACAGCCGGCAATGAAGACGCTGGCAACTGCAGCCCTCCCTACTAGTAGACCAGTGCTGTTCTAAAGGGAGCTTAGAGCCAGGCACAAGCTTGGTGCCATGGGCCTGTGATCCCAGCACACAAAGGAAGCTGAGGCAGGAAGACCTTGAGTTCAAAGCCACCCTGCGCTACTTAGTGAGCCGTCTCAAAAGGCAAAGAACAGTAGCTCAGCATCATTTTATTTGCAAGGCGCTCTCCTCTCAAGTCAGCAGGGTCCCTCCTACTGCTTCAGTATTTCCCTAGTATCAGAACAAGGGCGCACAACCCCACTGCTTCCTGTCACCCAGTAGTGAGATACACGTGTCACAAATCCCAGGACAAACATATCACAATTCCTCAGATAGACTCCGACATTCACCCTCAGGACAGAAAAGGCTCGGGTGTCACAGCATCTGCTTTTGGGTCCCTGTGAGTCTTATGTGGAAAGACTGAGTGAATTCTATGGTTCCAGAGCTCAGAACCAAGGGCCGAGGCTACAGAAGCGCCACAAAGTACACTACGGCCAGTAGGGCTCCTAACCCTGGGCCAGGAGCATCTGCCTCGTTAGCTGCAGACCCATGAGCTGGGCTCCCGAGAGTCAGCCCAGAGACGCCCAACACGCAGAGGGCAGCAAGAAGGGCCTGCCGCATGCCTGCAGGAGCAGAAAGCACAGGGGCTCACCGCGAGATGAATTACGGGCACTGTGACGTGGAAGGCCGTGGAGCAGGGTACGGATGCTTAACACAGGCAGCTTTCAGGTTGCACACTTTAATTTACAATGTTCACCGATAAAAAAGATTAGTTACAAAAGGGGACGCTGTCCATACAAAGTATGGATGTGTTCAGTCATAAAGAGAAGGAAGCCACTATTACATCTCACCTTGCTAAGATGAAGCTCAAGTACAGCTTGTTTGGGTAAAATTATCCCAGAGACACAGGCAATCCAGGCAAGACCAATAAACAATCAGCTTCCTGACTGCTTAAGAGAAATAAGTTAATGACCATTTACCTGAACTGAGGAGTTCTACATTCATGCCGGCAGACCTCAGAAAACAGCCACTCTCAGGCAGGCTGTAAGAGGCCGAGAGGCCCTAGCTCACTTACTGTGACCTCTTCTTACAGTTTCCACTCCTGTACAGTGCACACACGTGCACCATCTGCCACGAAATGACAGCTTCTACAGTTCTACAAGTGAACTTTGTTCTGGCCACAGTCTAGGTTCAGATTCTCCCCAAGTATGATTTTTTCATGTATGTTAAATCTGGAGAGGTACACCCAACCTTTATTAAAAATGAGGAGCTCTCTTCAAGCTCCCATGTCCCAGTGTAAGACACATCAGTTTAGTAAGAGTGGGGGAAAGCAGTCACACTGTTAGGACACATTTCCTGAAGAGGAACGGATCAAACTGTTCAAAGCCATTTCAGCTGACTCAGGCGTGGCGGCCACTCACCACTGCTCCCAGCAGTCTGCTCTCCAAATAAAAACCAAGTCTGTAGCCTTTAAAAAACTTTATTTGCTGATGAGCCAAGCTCTGATGGGGAAAGCCCACCTATGAAATAGTATTCTGGGTATCCAAGCTGCTCTGATTCACAACACATGTACATTCATGACTCAAAATAATAAAAACTTTTAAACACAAATGATTCTAAAGCCCTTATAATCCAAAATTATGTGCCAATCACTCAGATGTGCTTATATTAGCTTTAAAAATGATCCACCTACAAAAGAGCTGCACTTTTCTCACAATTGCCTGAAACACCTGACCAAAAAAGGGCAGGGGCAAAAGAAAAATGACAACTTAAATAGGGTCTGAGACCCTCCCTCCCCTCTGCAGCAAGCACACATGCAGAATGAGAGTTGGGAGCCTCTCTGGGGAGCGGCACTCTGTGGCTCGTGCGCCCGGAACCTCCTGACACAACCCAACGTGACTACTCTGAGTATAGGAGGCCAATGTGCCCTACATGGGAAACACAAAGGGACAAAACCTAACCCTGTGGTAGAAGCAACACCACTAGTCCCTATCACTCGGCTCAGGAAAACAGCACCTAGCAACAATCCTCATTAATACCACTCTAGGCCCTCACGGACTCAACACCTTTCTATAAAAACATCTGAAGAGGAGACAACGGCGGTAACTGCTGTTGGGCTGACACAATTCCAAAAGCTGAGAAAGCTCTTCGTCCACTGCTGTCTTCTCCCCTATTACAGTTCTGCCACTGAGGGGGAAAACAGTTGCATGAACAGGTTCTTTGCGACCAAGCCTTGGCAAAGCCAATAAATACGTTTGTCAAAGGCGGAATCATTTCGTGAGCAGCCCCTCAGGCGGCAACTTCGGGGCTGGGAAAGTGGGAGGGAGGTGCATGTGAAGGAAGACAGAAGATCCTTCGCCAGGGTTTGGTAACCCAACCCCAGATGCCCAGCTCGGTGCCGCAGATCAGCACCTGCTAACACCCACTTTTCAGGTGGAAAGGGAAGAAGTGAAAACACCAAAATAGAGTCAGTTTTGCAATTTGCACTCTTGATATTTGTTCTTCATAGCAGTAAGGACTTCAGTGAGAATCATGAAACTTGAGGAACACTTGTATTTTCCTTTAAGATTTAAAACCTTTTGTCTCACACTGAAAGACTACATTCGGTGTGGGTCAGGTCCAACAGTGCTGGCTAGGACTTGGCCGTGAAGCACACCCAGCACTGGCAGGAGATGGCGCTGAGCGCGACAGCTGGTGGGCAGCCCAGAGGAACTCGGTCACTGGTCTCCAAGTCGAAAGCCCTGGCCCCAGTTGTGTCTCCCACCTCCGCCATTCTGGTCGGCGGCTCGTCTCATGCTAGCAGGGGGTACACCGAACCCCGACACCCCTCCTCTCCGGCTGGGCAGCCAGCGGTACCTGAGGCAGAGAGGGAACAAAGGCAGAAGAGAGACAGTCACTCACACACAGTCCCCAGCCACGCTGCATGTCTCCCTCCTGGTGCCCCCGGCATCTGTCAGGCTGGGGAAGGCCAGGGACAGTGTCTCATTCAACTGCTTCCTCAGCACTCAGCTCAGTGCCTGACCACGGAGGGCACTTTCTCTCCATGTTTCTTACCTTTACCAGGCTCTCAAGTTAAATTCACACTCTACTGATTATAAGATAACTCATGCAGATGAGTATAAAAACAAAAAGAACACGCACAGGCCCAACCACCAGAAAGAATTACGGATGGCATCTTGGTCAATCCAAATATGGGTCAAACTGGATCAAAAACACAAACTAAATTTGCTTCCAATGGCCAAATCCACAGGCTGTGTGTTGAGCCCTGCACCTCACATCCACAACCCTCTCAGCTGATTCCACCACAGGAGACTGTGGAAGATGGCTTTCTGTCTTGAGGGTTTGGGTATGCCTTGGGGTTTTTTGGTACCAAGGACCGAACTCAGGACCTTGAGCATGTCAGGCAGGCAGCGGCACCACTGAGCTACATCCTCGGCCCAGGTTTGGGTATGTTTTTAAAGTCTACTCATAATCTGCCTGACTTCTTCCTTCCCATCTCCTAGCTGGTGGGAAGCAGGGGTCCAAAAAGGTTAGATGATATCTTACCACACAAGTTGCATTAGGAGTCACAGAAAAGCTGAGAAAATGTAAATCCAAGTCTACGCTTTCCACAGCATTTTCTATTTCCCGATCTTGCCTAAGAAACCGAGAATGTGTTTAAATCTATTCCACCTATCAAATCCCAATGTTTAAAATTTTGCTTGGAGGCAGAGGATAAGCTGATGCCCCTAGGTAAACCCCTCTCAGCACCACAGGAAGTCATGACAGGAGACTTCCCACACAGCAGCTCCAGTGTGACCACACGGGTCAGGAGTATATACCCTACACCAGCATATTCATTCACTCCATCGACCTGCACAGCAATCCTATGAGCCAGGCACTACAACAGCATCACCCTTGCTTTATAAACGAGAACACTGGGGCAAGACTGAGTGAAACTTCAAGAGTGACAGGACGCAGGCCCAGCAGCAGCCTGGCTCTGGAGCCTGCACTGTCCACTGCCTTCTACAGCACATGCCTCCTGCCGGGACAGGACAGAGGTTGGGACCGGAGTCTTCATTGGTTTTATCTTCCTGGAGCCCTCCACGCTCCTTCCCAAAAAGACACTGGCCCCTTCTCAACAGAAAACTAACTGTGTACAGAAGAGAAAATGTAACTCATTTTCTAATGGAATGTAGAATACTAATCATCTCAGAATTGTATAACTCATCTCTTGCCCTTTAAACAAATTCAGCTTTATCATTAAATCAAAGTGTGTCTCTGAGCACTGGGTTCTCAACATCAACAACATCTGGTATAATAATATTCCTCCAGTACATAACAAGAGAGTGCTTAAAAAAGGCAACAACACTAGGGCTGTCTTGCTTTGCTACTTACACTAAGACAATATGGAAGCCATCTCCATTGCTTCAGCGGACAGTGAAATTAAATGCAAGTAATTAGTATAAAAAGATATCTAATTATACATAATCAACAAAAATTTATGGTAATTTCAAAACAGTTACTGCTTTTGCAAGGAGCTACATTTTGTCATCTGATCTTTATGCAAAATTTAACAGAAGGCCTTTAACCAACAGAGAAAGCTCAAGTGACAGTAGGTTCCAGTGCGCGGCTGATTCTGCCTCAGGAATCACATGCACTTTGTTGTCCACAATGAAGAAATAACTGTAAGCCGTTAAGTCAGAGTGTGGCTATTTAAAGTAAAGTAACTCTTGGCTATCCCCCAAAGCACACGCTTTTTTAATTGATGCATCTGTCATCCTACTTGATAAACCTAGATCAGAAATTCAAACCTGCTGTTATTATGTCCTTTGATAACTGTAAAGCAGATTGGTCATTTGTATTTCCAGCCTAAAGGCAACCCAAGGCTCAAAGGGGAACAGTTTCTTTTTATTCTCTTAAAGAAGGTTTTCTTAAGACCCGCATAACAATAATACTATGGTCTTCTGTATATTATTGTTCACCACACACATGTACACACAGTGCCCTAATGTGTGAGGGGTGGGAGGAGCACTACTCAAGTCCCGCTGCCCTCACTGGCCCTTGGAAGAAGGACACAGTGCAGAACATGAAAATGAACAAGATGTGAAAGGAGTTTTGTTGTTGGTTTTTAAGCTTGTAAATGCAAGCCACAATGCCACGAGATCAGGCGTGACTGTCAGGCAGGCTGTGAGTCCCTATGGTGGTCCAGCTGGCCACTTCTCCGACAGCCTGCTGCCTCCCTGACAGCACGGTCTGCTTCTCACATGGACAAGTGCGTCAGCGTCTCCCCTTGGGGTGACACCCAGCTCAGGGCTCTCACTGAGTCCCCAGCACAAGCTCAGCACTGTGCTTATTGCACCCAGTCATCCACTAAGAGACGTGCAAACCAAAGCTTGCAGGCTGCAGGTAACTTTCCCAATGCCAGAGCTGGTGTGGCCACAGGGAGAACAACATTCAGAGCCAAACGCTCGCGCCCCTGCCCTCTTCACCCAAATCAACCCTAGACCCTAGGGCTTGGGACTATCCAAACCTCGTGTCTTTCATTTTAACTTTGAACAGTCCTATAAAAGTTCAATCCTGAAATATCGATGGGCCCTTCCTCAACAGAAAGCACGGAGGAAGCTGATGCCGCAGGTGACCCCATATCCTAGGCCCACTCGCCCCCAAGGCCACGAGTCACAGCCCGGAACAGTATGGGGCTGAGCTGGCCGGGCTGGGCCTGGTCATCAGTGGTCGCCAGCTCAAGGGCACCACGAGCAGAATGAGGTGCTGGCTTCCATCCCTTATGACCACGTGACTTGGCAAGTCATTTATCCCCTCAATTTCTCCATCCGATGGGACGTAAATCAGAGCCCTCCTGAAGTTCCTGTCAAGACACATGAGAGCATGGGCAACACAATACCTGTTCAATGAGGGGAAAAACACTTACAAAAACTGAGGTGTCGATAAAAAATTTCTTCCTCCCAAGTCCATTGGGTATCTGAACATTAGGAAGAAATAAAGATGTCCGACAAGATTTCCAATTAACTCATTGATCACCCTGCAAAGAGAACCAAATTAAAGACATTCAAATGATAAAGTGAAACACACCTACTGTTAACTAATAGCATGGGGAAGAGATCTCCACTGAAGCCCACGTAGTCCCAGAGTCCGTGACAGCTCTAGAGCAGGCCCTGTCTACGGTCAGTGACAACTCATTCTGAGGGACAGAAAGTGACTGCTGAACCAACATGGGCCACGGGTCCTGTGGGCCAGCAGCCCCTCTGACATCTCTTTTAAGCTTAGCCCACCTCAATGCTACTCCCTGCCTCAGGAGTCAGGGAGGCTGCAAAGCAGACCGCTGAATGTTTTCAATCTGAGTACTCTGTGCATGAAACACAGGCAGACAGGCAGGTACTGAGCTCGGAGCAAGGACAATACATGCCTGCTCCCCATTCCCAGACCCACTGCACGCTCTCTCCCACCTCCTGTGTCCTGGAGTGTCAGGAAAGCTGACCTTCACCCTGCACCCTAAATAAGCACTGAGCTTCCTTCCTCAGGTTCTCATGGCTGATGGGGAGGTCATCTCAAGATCTTATGGATCCACTCCTCTATCACTGCCCTCTGTCTGCACCTCCAACATCATTCCTGTCAGGGACAAATCAAGGGAACTACTTCTAGATTCTGCCTTTCTGGGTGGGAGAGCCAGCTGGAGCACACTTGGACCTCGATGTGCCCTAGACCGAGTCTGCTTGCTCGATTCATCCACTTCTATGGTATGCAGAAGTTGGGATCACACAAAGCAAGTGTGTCAGATATATGAAGAACTAGTACTATTAAAATCATTAAACTTGGGCCGGGGATTTAGCTCAGTGGTTCCGCTGCCTGCCTCATAGGTGCAAGGTCCTGAATTCGATCCCCGGTACCAAAAAAAAAAAAAAAAAGAATATCAAGATGTAGCTATTCTAAGATTGCCTATTTTTTATGCATTACAAAACATTTTCAAGAGTTTAATGATTTTTTTTTGTTACCAGGGATCGAACTCGGGACCTTGCACCTACGAGGCAGGCGGCAGAACCACTGAGCTAAATCCCTGGCCCTTGATATTCTTTGTTTTTTCCCCATTAGGTACTAGGAGGCTGAACCCAAGGCCTTCAGACTAAGCTATATTCCCAGCCTAGTCTTCATTTTTTATTTTAAGACAGGGTCTTGCCAAATTGCCCAAGCTAGGTTCAAACTTGCAACCCTCTTGTCTCAGCCTCACAGCACGATGGGATTATAGGTATGCTTGGCTGTTTTTCCTTTATAAACTCTGAGTGGATACACTGAAGGCTTTACTAAACCTCAGTTCTAATTACAGATGAGCAAACTAGGAATGTTCTGCTTGGCCAAACTTCTGTATCATCAAAACGACTTACAAAACTACTTCCCATCCGAGCATCTGCTTTTCTATTGATAGTAAGCATTCTGGAAATACCTTAAGAATAAAAGACACTAATTTTACGGAAGTCAACTCAGACAAATTAGGTGTGTCTATGCTCGGTCTGGATAGTGAATCTAGAAACACATGTTTTCAAACATAACACAGAAGCATATCTGATGCAGTAACAAAATCATAACCATCCAATGTCAAATATGCTTAAAGCCTTGCAATTTAATTAATTACATCAAAATATAATTATTAGGTTCTAAAACATCAATGTTGAGATTTTTAAAAAACTTTTATAAAGATCAGAGAAAGAAGATAAAAAGGTGAATGGAAGTTTTCCAAGGATTAGTTTCCAATTAAATAAATCTAGTATCACTTACGAGCCTCCTATGATATAGTTGAATCCAAGGATAACCCAAGGTAAATAACAGGCCTAGGAAAGAACACACACAAACATAAGCAGCCATACCTGAAGAGGACAGAGCTGTAAAGGGACTGAAATGGGAACAGATACACTGACCAGGGCTTTATATAAATTCTTTGGGAGGTCACTGCAAGCTTCTCAGATCAATCCAGCAGCATTCTTACTATACTAAAGCTTCATAATTAAAAGTATATTTATTTGGGATGGGGATTTAGCTCAGTGGTGCCACCACCTGCCTCACAAGCTCAAGGTTCTCAGTTCGATCCCTGTACCAAAAAAAAAAACTATACTTATTTGTGTACTTGTAACTGGAAAGCAGAATACATTGCCCATAGTCCAGATCCAACACATGCCCTGCTGGATTCATATTAACAAGACTCAGAAACCAGACAAGCATCTTGTGGATGCTACTAGAAACACAGCCACGACAGAGGCACACTCAGACCCCAACCAGCAAACTGTAACAAATAGTTACTCCGGATTTTTAATTCATTACATATTGCTATCTTGAATAAGACAATTCTGTAGATGGAATTCAATATGTGAGACACCTATTAGATTCAAGACCTGGTATCAAAGGCTAGGGGCATGGCAAGGATCTTCACAAACCAGTAAAGAAAGAGTTGTACCTAAATAACTTAGATACTCAGCTAAGTACTACAAGAACAACACAGGGCAAAAGTCGAAAGCCAAGACCAGTTCCAGGCAAGAGATTAAAAATACAGTATAGGTTCAGTCCCATAAAAGGTAGGATATATACAAGGAAGAGAATCAAAGAGTTACAAGTGAAAAATTGTGAGATCAGGTATAAAAGGAAGTGTTTAGAAGGAAAAAAATATTTTGCTAAAATGTTAAACACATACAGGAAGTAAAGGAACAATAAGAATGGATTTTAAATAGCAAGCTTTCAAATGAGTTACACACACACACACGTACACTCTCTCACACACACACACTCACTAAGGGAAAGAGCCCTGAGGGCCTGAACAGCCAGGGAAGTAACAGGCCAGCAGAGAGCTCCGGGTTGACCCTGGGAGGGGAGAAAGGGGCCTGCCTATGGTACGCTGCTCTGCAGTGCCCTCTCCTGGCTGAGTCAGGAAGTGCATCTCTGGACTTGGGAGTTCTGCAGACAATGAAAAGAAATTTTTCCAGCTAAGGTCAAGTACCTTAAATCGTGTTCCAAACCAAAATGACACAATCATGTCTCTGTTCAGCTGGGCCCAGACATAAAGTACTGACATGATGAGAGGAATCATCAGCAACTGCAAAAGAAGTGACAGGTAAAAACCAGGCTCTGGGCGTAAGCAGTCTGAACAAAGGCTTACCATAAATCTACTGTGCTTTTTATTCCTCCCCTCCAAAAACAGTTTCTCATATGAATACTAAAAAGCAAAAGAAAATTCAACTCATAAGAATTACAAATTGATCCCATTATTTAACTTATCATACAAAGAATGCTACAAAACCCCGTAATAAAATACAACACAATTATATTTTTAGATGGACTCAAATATTTAAGTCAAGCGTTATTCACAAAAGGCAGACTTTACTTACCATATATCTCGATTTTAAAGAATCCTCACATATACTTAAAAAATATTGCACACCCATTATTCTCAATATTCAAACATACGACAAAAGCCAGAAATGAGCAAGAAAAACAATGATTTAGGTAAGTCATACAAGCTTCAAAAATTCAGCTGACTTAAAATCTTCAGAATAAAACATACCATTCTGTAAGTTCAAAATACCACACATTAATCACACAGTACCATTTCAACTTCTATCAAAGGCTATGCATAGCAAGTCTGAATCACACAAAAGGCAAACAGTTTAAAGGGACACTTACCTGCATGTCCATTGCCAAGCCAGTAATCTAGATTTGTGAAGTTAAAGATCAGATAATAAAAAAGTATTTCCCCCCACTGAAACATTAATTTCATTCCCATGTTCTCAACAAAACCAGTTTTCTGTCATGCAGTTTACTTAAAACATTTGAGAACACAAAGGTTCTGATAACCTTCATCATGAATATTCCATTAGACAATACCACAAGGAGATGTAGAAATTAACAGCCTCAGCTTGACTCAGTAAGTCACGGATGTCCTCTTTTCCATGCCTGCCACAGTGCTTGGCATCTCTCCTTCAAGCAGAGGACAGAGATACCCGTGAACCTGAAACACACAATGACTCTGCTCATACTCAGGGCTGTACAGCATAGATGAAGTTCAAAACCACTTTGTTTAATTCTCTCAAAGGCAAGGAAAGAGTATCCGAAGTCCTACTTTTGCTGGCTCTTGGCCCAACTTTAAATGAAAGCTAAGTCCAGCAGCAACTATGAGCTCACCAGCTGTGCCCAGGAGGCGAGCCACAGTCCCTTCCGCAGTCCGTGCCATCTGCAAGAGTCCACAGTTGGAAGGGTGCTGACAAGGGCGGTTGGTGCAAAGCAGAAAGACAGACTGTGCCCAACGCTTTGTATTTTATAGAGGGCACTTTATAGAGGGAGTGAATTACTACTAAGGACCCCAAAAGAAAGAAAGCAATAAAGGCAGAAAATGACGTTGGTATAAATTTATTTTCTGATAAGAACTTCTCAAGCTGTCTCACAGCACTGAATCTCTTTGTGCTTCGATCAACAAGCTGTCACCCTGAGAACACAGAGAACTGAGAACAAGAAGGGACAGTAACAAAACCCAGCCAAGTGGGAAAAAATCCCACAAGAGCAATGGTGAGAGAATTCATCACTCAATGGCTACATGATCTACTAGAGCTTTTAAAATTTTTAATTATTCTTATTAACTGTAGTAAACAAAGATGCAAATGCTAATTTGAAATTGTTATAGAATACCATCTATTTCCCCAAATCTGAAAAAAACCAAACGAACAAAAAAGGTCCATTTCTTTTTTTTTTTTTGGTACTGGGGATTGAACTCGGGTCCTTGCGCTTGCGCAGCAGGCGGCGAAACCACTGAGCTAAATTCCCGGCCCCAAAAGGTCCATTTCTGACCCAAAATGACACAGAAGGATACCACGATGCAAATCCAGTTAAAGAGAAGCATGAATAAATAGTCTGCTGGCCTCCCATCAAAAGCTCCTGTAAACAAAAATAAGCCAATGTCATGGTTCAGAATTTCAGAGCAAAGTAATGTCTAAAAAGAAAAACACTTCAAAAACTTAGAGAAAACCAAATGGAGAATATTTTTTAAATTACTCCTCTCAAGAAAAGTCAATTTTTACAAACATCTAAACCATGTCAATAAAGTGCTGAACCCAAAGCACCTAAATAAGGTCCCCCCATGCTCTCCTGACTTCTTAGTCGTACACTCTGACTGCCCCTCAATTCCAGAGCTACTGACCCCCAGTCCAACCATGGTGAGACCCCCAGAACTCCCTCCTGCTCTGCTGGCTTCTCCTCTGTGGCCCTATCAGGCCCTGATGGACACACCTGTTAACTGGTTAATGTCTGTCTCCCACCCTGGGACCATACACTTCTCAGGAAGGAGGCACATTTGTTTTGCCTACCATTGTATATTGTATCTCCTTCAACATGACTATGCTGGAGCATCTTACCATTATGATTACTACTGTCAGACACACACACACGCAAAACACGCCCGTGCGCACACACACCCAGCTCTGGGTGCAGCTGAGAGGATTCCATCTCTGTCTTCTGGGTACCTATTTTCCAAGAAAGGGAAGTGACAGGAGAGGGAAAGGGATACACTCGGCCATACCTTTCCACAGATTCACTGTGAGACACAACCTATAGCCAGCCCCCTTTTTATAGGAGAGCAAGTCGTCACATAGCTACTAGAAGCAGAGTGAAGCCTATTGGTTTACTGCTCTTCACTGCACCATTAAACAGGTTCTGTTTTATTAATGGCCAGAATAATCAACAACCCAGCTGTCTTCTGTGGATGACTCTTAATCCCTTCAGTTCAAAGGTTTTAAGAGAAGCAAAGAAAGAGAAATAACTGTAAGATCACTCTAGCTTAAAAATTACCTTCCCTCGGCTCCACACTCTATTACAGTTATAGGATAAAGCTAGTCAATCAAAACAAAACAAAAAAACCCTGAATAATCAGACAGGCAGCAGGGTATAGTAGCAAAAAGAAACCAGGTTTCCAGCAAAAGCCCCCACTCTCCTGTTTCTTCCTTGCCACCTCAAAGGCACACCTCAGCCACACGAAGGATGCTCACTGCTGAAGAAGAATCACTGTGACAGATCAGAGCTGAGACTCCAACAAATTTTCTAAAGTTTAACAATAGCTGTGGTCTGATGTGGTTTTGGCTTTGAGATTTCTAAGGATTCTTTAGACTGAGTATTTAAGATACTATAATCACATCAATTATAGTACTATAATATTTGGCATGCCTGCAACTAGAAATTCAATTAACTGGTCTCAAATTGCAGTCTTCCAGTTCAAATCAGAAACCTCATAAATATGCCAATACTGCTACATACTTAACAATTTAGGCTGGCAGGAAAATATGCAGGTGGCAAACATTTTGTCAAAATGTTAACTTGAGGCTGTATGGTGGAGAGAAAACAGGGTATCGATATAGGCACTCCACTCCTAGCTGTGTTATACCCAAGCTCTGTGACCTTTGGGACATGTCACTGCTCCTTGATCCCACCACTGTGCTCTTGTCTGTGAAACAGAAGGGTAAACAGAAGGATCACAAAGATTCCTCTCTACACTACTGTGTACAGCAGCATCATTCACAATACCACAGCCAGGTCAACTAACGATGAACAAAATGGCATTGTCCATACAATGGACTCTTACTAGGTAATAAAAATGAATGCAATACTCATACATACTTCATAGAGAACCTTAAAAACTTAACGCTAAGTGAAAGATGCTAGTCACAACAGGCTACATACAACATGACTCTGTTTTTAAGACATGTCCAGAAAGACTAAGCAAAAGGGCCAGACGTAGATTAACAATTTCCTATGGGTTGGAGGGGGAAAAGGCACTGAATGGAAACAGGGAATGACTGCTGATGGGTGAAGCTTTGGGGTAATGAAATTTCATAAATTATGATGACGGTGCAACTCTGCGAAGATACTAAAAACACTGAATTGTTCACTTTAAATGGATGAACTGTATGGTGAGTTAGTTGTCCCCACATATTTGTGGAAGGGATTGTTTCCAGCACCTGTCTCAGATACCAAAATCTGCAAATGCTCAAATCCCTAAATAAAATGGTATATACCACTTGCATAAAACCTGCACAATCCTCCCACATATTTTAAATCGTCTCTAGATTCCTTATACTGCCTAATACAATGTAAATGTTTTATAAATAGTTGTTATACCACATTAGGAAATAATGAAAGGGAAAAAATCCATACACATTCAGCTCAGAATTGATTTTTTTTTTTTAGTCAAATATTTTCAATCTACAGTTGTTGAATCTGAGAATGCAGAACCCATGAATTCAGAGAGGCAACTGTATATCTAAGTAAAATTGTTTTTAAAATGCCTCTCAGGTAGGCATGATGACACACACCTATAATCCCAGCACTCTGGGAGGCTGAGACAGGAGGATCCCAAGTTCAAATCTAGGCTGGGCAACTTACTGAGACTCTGCCTCAAAATAAAAATAAAAGGACCCCAAAATACAAAAAAATAAAAAATAAAAGGACTGGGTACATGTAGCTCAGCGTAAAGACCCTGGGTTCAATCCCCAATAAAACATACACAGATCCTCTCAGCTGTAGCATTTCAAAATGCTATGTGGGGAGGGAATAGGGAATGAGAGGGCAACTTCTATCAATCAAAGCAAACAAGAGACCAGTGGCCTAATAAGCCCATGCGTTTTTCTTAAATGTTATTCAGGTAGAATAATATTAAAAATTCAGTGTATTATCTAAGTGCAGTGCATTATCTAAGTACTAAGTAATCAAGAGAAGACAAGTAAAAAGTAGCCAAGGAATTTCTTCAATTTAGATTTAATCTTAAAATAGTATTAGAAGGATTCTTTAAGTCTCTCTATTTCAGAGGTAAATATTGAAAGATTTACAAATGAAATGACACCATGCCCAGCATTTTGCTGCAAAAAACAGAGGTGAGGCAGCCATCAAAGACTCGCTAGAAGGTAACAGTTAGAGGTGGGTGATAGTCAAATCAGGGTTCACACTTCACATTGTGGGTGGGTTAAAACCATGAAAACAGTGAGTCACAAAAGCCATATGAAATGTCCCAAATAGGCAAATCCACACAGATAGTAGATTAGTGGTTGCCAGGGGCTGGGAGAGGGGAAAGGGGGAACAGAGAATGCCTGCTTAAGAGTTCTGAGGAGTGCTGAAAGCATTCTGGAATTAAACTGTGGTGATATTTGCATGACATTGTGAATACACTAAAGACCACTGAATACACTGTAAAATGGCTAAAATGGTGAGTTTTATGTTAAGTCAATCTGCTTTCAATATAAAGAAAAAGACTCATTGAACTTTTTCTCTATTTTTATGTTTAAAGGTTTCCTATAATAAAGGTTTAAATAACTGGTCATAGATCATCCACACTTAATCTATAGTTTACTCTTTATAAAAAATTACTCCAACAACTTAATCCTCAATTATACCAGAAAGGTAGAATGCTAAGCAAGTCAGCAGCATAACCAGAAACCAATGGAAAAAGGGAGAATGAAATCACTACTCTGACAGACTTAAGGACTGATCAAGCCTGACACAGTAGAGAGCAGCTTCGCTGCTAGTTTCACCTCAGCCAGCATACGACCCTTTCTCGAATCTGTTCTGTAAGGCTCCCTCCCAACAGTTATAGTCTATGGCTCTGCATCTTATTAATATAATGATTTCTTTCTTAAAAAAAAAAACAAACAGGACCAGAGATTTAGCTCAGTGGTTCCAGGGCCTACCGCGCAAGCACAAGGTTCCAAGTTCGATCCCCAGTACCAAAAAAATAAATAAATAAAATAACAACTCATACCTAATATCAGTTTAAGGAAAAGTTAATTTGACACCAATGGTCATCCTACTATTTCCTCAAAGTTGAGACTAATTTACAATTTTCAAACATATGAGCACCAATTTAGCTTTAAGAATGGTCAAAATTCTCCAACCTAAGCTAATAGCCAGCAGGCTTAGTCTGTGAAGTCAGCCCAACTTTTCAAAATCATTTCAGTTTAACAAAATCATACTCCTATTAAGACAGTGTATTGATTTAGTGTTTCTTAGTATAAGCAACTCAGGATGACATATAAGGAAGGCACTGTTGGAAATAAATAATAATTCAGTAAGATATTTTCAAGAAAAGATTTTGACAGTTTATCCATACATCATACTGTACAACATACATCTGATAAACTACCATATTATTAAACCCTGACCATGTATTTTGAAGTTGAGTGTTTCAATTATAGAAAATAAGTCTGGGCTTTTATTTGCACAGAGTAACATTTTCAGCCTCAATCGGAGAGATACATACCCTCCAGACCAATGCTGCATCAAAGGACAAAGACTGCTCTATGACAAAAATGAATGAGATGGCCAAATAAAATGAGAAGTGTATAGCTCAGCCACTGAGGAATTGGGCAAAGTAGGTAAACTTCTCATATGCCTTTTTTTCACCTACAAAATGGTGACAGATACTTTAAACTTCATGATATTCTACTACAGTTGAGTAACCTAAGTGCCTCACGTGGTCTTAGCACAGTCACTGGGGCATCCACTACCATCATGCCATTTTTCATGCACTACTGCTGACTGCCCTTAAAATTCCTCCAAGGAAGTAAACATGGATTAGTAAATTAGAAAGAAACAGTACTTAAAACAACTATCAGAGACATACCTGCTTCAAGTCGTGTAGAATACTGATATAAGAAATATAAATTGACCAAATAAAGAAATCCAGTTCCTGGACCCACAGGGAAATAAAAGGTGGCAGTGATTGGCCTCCAAATCTGTCCAGATCAAAATAAACACAGCTGTTAGTTTCTGTAAGCCAGGTTAATTGTTTTTTCTTTAACTAAACAAGACTAACCCTTGCAAAGCATTCTCCTCAATGAGTTACCCAAGTGAAAATATCATTATGACTTGCGAACTAAAGACGAGTTCATACCAAGTATAACCAATTTGCAAATGGATAGAATACAATGACATCATAAAATAAGCAATAAATATTTCTAAACAAAATGAAAAAAATCAATACTACAAAAATATATAGTTAGTCTTTTTTGGGGGCGGGTGGGGGGTACCGGAGATCGAACTCGGGTCCTTGTGCTTGCAAGGCAAGTGGCTGAACCACTGAGCTAAATCCCTGGCCCTACAGTTAAGTCTTTTTACTGACAGGCATACACCTAAACCTAAGGCCAAAAATTAATTTCAAAGACTCCAATAGTAGATCTCTCAGGAAAAGAACATACTGGGATGACTTTATCCAAAACTGCCACATTCAAAAAACAGAAATAAAGCAGCAATTTTTATTCAAAAATATGCTAAATAAACAACATGAGCACATGACTTAAAAAGCATTATCCCCAAAGTAAGAAATACGTCAGCGTCTATATTAAGAAGTAAACCTCGCTTCTGGGTTCCTGGCCCCCAGGCTCGAAGTTCCTCTTGAAGCATCAACTCATCAGTTTCTTGTGCGCGTTACCATTATGCACTCTCTTCATGTGCTTCATACTGTACTGTCTTATACTGTGTATCATCCCCCTGACAAAATATTTCCACTGCCTTCACAGTATTCCTTTTATGTGAACATTCAAACTTCATTTGAATTGTTATAATCCCATGATGACTATTCTTATGCACATACAGGATAATTCTTGTGAATCAATCTCCTAGATCAACAGATATATGTTTATTTTGTTAGACATTGCCAAATGCCTACAGAAATGTTTAATCAATTTATTCTTCCTCCTAAAATGTAGATGAGTCCCTATATTCTCCATACATACCATTCAGTACATTTTATATTCACCAATTTGAAAATTCTATTTGCCTCATGAGAAAAACAAAGAGTACCTTTTCATGTATATCCTTTCACCATTTTTCTGCTAGGTTTGTATTTTTTTATACACTGGAAGTTCCTCTTCTTCATTGCAAATATTTTCTGGTCTGTCATTAGACATAGTTTTATGGTATTTTTGCTATAATTTGGCATGTAAATGTTTAATTTGTAGACAAATATATTCATCATGTATCATGCTTACAGTTTCTTCACTCAAAGAATAGAAATGTGTTCACAGTTTTACTACAGTACTTTCACAGTTAATCTAAGGGATGTGGAAGAAATCCAACTTATTTTTCTAAATCGTCACTCAATTGTCTCATCCCTGTTTATAAACTTACCCATATTTTCTCCAATTACCTGAAAAGTGGCTTTCATTGAATATTTAGTCCCTTTTATAAGGTCTAGTTTTTGACAATTCTGTTTGGCACTGATACCTACACTAATACCAAGTTATTTTAACGTGTAGTTTTATAACACATTTTAATATCTGATAAACAGTTAAGTCATCTCCGTCCCCTATTTCTACAGTCTCGGTATTTTATTTTTCTAAGTGAATCAGAGCTAACATCTCTATTATACCACTGTGATACTGACAGAATTCCCAACCAAGAAGTCTTCCACAGCTTTTCTATTTTCCTATTGAGCTAATCTAGCTCCTTTTATACCTAACTTCCAAAGGTGTTTGTTATATTTGAACTCAGCCTCTTGGGCTTTCCATACATACAACCCTATCTGTAAATAAAATTTTGTATCTTACTTCATTCTGGTCTAGATCAGTAGGTAATGCCTCCAGAAAACAGTAAGTAACAGTGAAGCAGGCTGGCTTCCCAGCTTCTGGACACTGGCTTCTGGCTTGAAGGCTTCGTGTCTCATGGCACACTACCATGTCAAAGAAAGCAAGAGTTGGCATAAGGGAGGGGAAATCTGATCTTGATTTGGTCCCAAGAAGATGTAAGCACAATAAAAGAGGAGGTCTGCTAACAAATTTAGATGTGGCTCAAAGGGAAGACATCAGTCACGGGGCCTATAGCTAGATACAAAGCTGTTCTCTAAGTACAGGGCTGGGAACAACAGAGCTTCATTGCCTGTGGAGGAAAAAGCACGGCCCATACCAAAAGCGACTCTGCAGATCCCTGTAGCAAGCCAGCAAAGCAAAGCAGCTTAGCACTCACCTAGACTAGCACAGGAAGAATACAGTCTAATGAAAAGAGCGCTACAGATGCTGTGAGAAGACATGGGCCGTCTACTGTCAACTCATCACCTCTTGACCTCAGCTTGCCATCTGTAAAAGGGGAAGCTTACCGCCCTCCTTTAATGATTCTTTAAACGAACAAATCAGTGAGTTACCCAGCTTATTTATATGTGCCAATATATGCACCAAGAAGACTGGTTTTTACAGACGGTGAACAGCATGAGAAAAGATTAACCACTAGTAAAGATAGAATTTTGTCTCAGTCTGACTCCAGAATTTGTGATACTAACCCTCAATTTTTTACAATGCCTCTCACAAATGACATCAGTATTATGACATACAATTAATAAAAATTTTCAGTACAATTATATCTGTATATGAACCTGCTTATGAAAAGCACTGAGGAGATGAACCAAAAGCAAGTATTGCCATGACTCATAAGTGACCATGGAACCTTAGAAGTACAGACGTTAGAGCTGGCTTTCTTTACTCAATGACATCCATCCTATGACTGCTACCTTCCTTATTTTTGAGTTTGTAAAAGGCTGGGGTTAAAAAGGTGTGTTGTAAAAAAGGAAAGAGTCTGTATGTCTGTGTGTGTGTGTGTGTGTGTGTGTATGTGTGTGCATGAGTGTGTGTTATTACTATCACGATCTTTCGGGAGACACCCACTGACCTGGTTTTATACATTTAAATTACCCCCATATTTTTGTAAGTACTCAAGGTCTGATCTTAGCAAAGAAACCTTAGGGTTTTTTCCTGACTACATTTTCTCTAATGCTGATGACATAACACTATTTTTAGCCACTGTGTGCACCTGTTCCTTAGAAATCAGTGTCTGTCAAAATATCTCTCCTCTTCCTTGTTCATTAAGTTTACACTTTAGTTATACTTGGCTTTCAGTGATCTGAGACTTCACATTATTTTTATATTACTTTAAAATTATAATTTGAAAACACTAGAGCTCATCTCTTTAGAGGTATACCATATAATGTAAATATATTTCTGAAGGCCCCATAAAGTCTCTTTTCCTCTGACACATAAACACTCAGGAAAAGGATTTTTTTTTTCATGAAGAAAGTTGGGCCCCAGAGTTAAGGTACTACACCCAAAGTTCCTCACTTAACAAAAACAATAGCCAATGGGGTCACTTGCCATAGGAACACTACAAAAAGACAAAGCATTTAGTTACTAATCTAACAGTTTGTTCCATGTGGGTTGCAGTCATCCTTTAACTAAAATCTGAATAATCTGCTGAGATAACTGCAAATGCCATCCAGAGGGAAAAGAGGGTTTTTTAAGGATGAAAAGCAAAACTTTTTCTGAAACATAAAGGATCAGTTGGATTCAAAGTTAAGTTTGGTTATGGTTCACCAAACTAGAAAGATGACCAGTACCTGTGTGCAAAAGGCCAAACTAAACTATGGGCTTTTTAAAAAATATACTAGGTAGGCAAAAAAAGAACCTTCCCATTCATTTTTTTAAAATGAAAGCTACCCAGCCAGGCACGGTGGCTCATGTCTATAATCCCAGCATTCAGGAAGCTGAGGCAGGAGGACTGCTGTGAGTCCAAGGCCAGCCTAGACCATATAGCAAGGCTCTGTCTTAAAAAATAAAAAAAATTAAAAAATAAAAGCTACCCACTATCACTTTAGGGCTTTAAAAAAAAAAAGCAATTAGAATCAATAAATGAGTGTTTTATTCTGTTTATTTACATGTAGCGATTCAGGAGATTAATTCTATTCCATTGGTTATATTCCTAGGTATATAGCAACATAAAACCATACCTACCTCCACTGAAAAGTACCTATGTTCATTAAGACATGTACCAGAATGTTCACAGCAACGTTACTCAAGATAGCCCAAACTGGAAACTATGCAAGAGATCCATTAAATAAATTGTGGTAAATGAATAAACTGCGGTATATCCACACAGCAGAGCAATAAGAATGCACAGTCCATGGCCATGATACGGGTGACCCTCCAACATCCAATCCTGTTGATAAAAGCCCGACCCAAGACTGACTGCTGTGCAAGTTCACTTAGAGAAAGTACAAAACTCGGCAAAAACAATCCAGTGAATTAAAAGCCAAGATACAGTACTAGTGACTCTTGGAGGGGCAGTGACTAGAGGGAGCAAGAGAAAGGTTTGCAGGTGCTGAAAATGTTCTGCCTCTTGATCAGGATGCTAGTTTCTGAAAACTCTACAAGCTGTAAATGTATGATACATTTTCCTGTTTGCATACTGTAACTCCATAAAAAGTTTAAAAACAATGCCGCAACCTTATCTACAAACTGCAACTGAACTGCCTGTCTCAAGTGGACATGAATGCTCAGAAAAGATTTCCAATTGTTCATAACAAAACTCTAACCACTACAGTTCTAAATCCAAGCCTGGAGATATTTTCATACTCAACCTCCAGTCCAAGTTCATTCTCCTTCCAGTTGTGTGTGAAATAACTCTTCCTCATATCATAACCCTAAGCTGACCTGCTAGGGATGCAGTCACTGGGTTACCTGCAATAGTACAAAGCTTCTGAAACAAGCACCAGTCTGAATCACAGACACAGTTGGTTCTATTTTTTATTCCTGAAAACATACTACAGAAATTGAGGTCACATCTTCCCAACAACAATAATCTAACAGTCATATTTCTGCCATTCTGGGTTTTTTTGTTGTTGTTGTTGTTTTTTGGTACCTGGGATCGAACTCAGGACCTTGCACTTATAAGGCAGGTGGTGGAACCACTGAGC